CGGGTTTTCGGACAGCCTCGGCCGCCAGAGGTCTTGGTCATTAATCCGGGATTGACAAGAATCCCTAATTAATTTAATTAGGCGTGGATTGTGCGTTGGTGTCACGACTTAGTTAAACACTGGGGAGCTGGATGGACTCCGCGGGGGCGGGGCCTAAAGGAAACTGACAAGCGCGCGGCTCCGGGATCCGTCTGGTGTCCTGTGTTCGACCCTGCAGCCTCTCTCTGGGTCAAGGTGCCGCGCAGCTGCTGCCTGGCCGCGCGAGGCTGAGCCCTGGGCTTTGCGCTGCGTCGGGCACCCAGCATGAATAGGCCCCGCGCCTCTGTCCCGCATCCGGACCGTGCGTCCCGGTCCTGCATCCCTGCCCCCTTCGACCCCGCAGTTCCACCACTCAACATTAACCTGGCGTCCTAAGCCTGCCCAGAGTCAGAATTCCCTACAGTCTCCGACCGGTGCTCTTTTACGGGACTCCTGGCTCGCGTTCAGTTTGAGCCCAGGGTGTTCAAGCTCTTCGTCCACCATTCACTCCACTACTCACGTCTTGGAGTCAAAGCCCACTTCTGTGTGGACACATTCCACTTGAAGGGGCAGGTCGATTTAACATGTTTCCTAAGCAGCTGTTCCCTGACAGATCCCATTTTAAAGTGTTTCCTTAGCGCCCGGTCAAGGACAGCTCGACTTCGTTTTTCTCTCTGAGGTCTCTGGATGCTCACTCTAATCCCTTTCTACTCCCTGCACCCAGAGCATTTAACTTCCCGGGAAACAGTGTAGCTGTTTCCCAATTTATCCTAAGATAATCCGTCTTCGAGTTTGAAAAAGCAAACAACGACATTAAATTTGTGTTCCTTCAAATTATTTTTATCGTGTACTGTCCAAAAGGATACTGGGAGAAGAGAGCTCTCACCCCCTCCTTTCAAAGATACGATTGAAAATTTCAAAATGGTATTTCTGGGCTATTTTCACGAAAAAGGTTTGTTATATGGGAGGAACATCTATATTCCCGACTCATTTGTCGACATTGTGCAGGGCAGGGCTTTGCAGTGAGAAGTGAGGCTATGCAAGTACCTGCAAATACAAAAATATTTACATATGCAAAGTTACATTTACGTGAGTGTATAAATATATTTTAAAGTGAGGCTTTGGAGACTTTTTGAAGCACAGTACATGAATGTTTATGCAATCTTTCTGATGTTAAAGAACTTTGTTCCTTATCTTGGATCCAACAGTAAAATAAAAGCAATTACAAAACATTAATATGTGTATCTTTTACAATTAGCTAATGGATCAAAACAAAGTTAGCAGATACCTTGAGAAGTTCTATCAAAACAACCTCAAGCATTTGTAAAAGGAGAACATAAGGATTTTTCAAATATGTGTACTTAGAGATTATATATAACTTTGTTACACTGCAATACTCTGATTGAAGCGCTCATATTTGGTGAATTTATGGAAGATGAATTCATGCTTTTTAGAAACGTTGCTTTGCTTTTGCTCTGAAGTTGACTTTCCTTCTTAAACCTTTTCAATTTTTTTTTGATACTCAGGACAAATAAGGTTTTTCAGTAACAATAGTTTTTAGGAATTAATTTATGAGTACTCTTTTATTATTCCACAAGACTTCAATATCCAACTTTCCAAAGTTACATGAATTTAAAAACATGATTTCATATTGGGTCTTGATCTGTTATCTGTAACCACTTTAATTCTGATATCATCAAAGAGGATTAATAAAACTTTAGTCTTTATGAAACTCCATCTTTAAGATTACTTAGCAGAATAACCAGTTATAGATTTGGTATTCCAAGAGCTCACAAACTGAGGTGTTGAACACATGTTCACAAATAACCATAGCACACATTAAAGTCTTATACAGGATCAGGAGACACTCCAGCTACTTTGTTGCTTTAGGTACATGTTTTTTAAGTCTGAACTCATATTCCATCTACTGAGTTTGAGGAAAAATGACCACTTTAAGGGTAATCAGGGAGGGCTCAGACACAACTGTTGCATAATTCCAACCAACATATTTTCCTATGAATTCAGTTTATTGGCTCATTTTAAATTTAAGAATGGTAGCATTGATATCAGATGAAGCTATGAGAAATTTACAGTGTCTAATCATGGATTTTTAGTAGAATAAAGGAAAATTTTCTTGTTTAGAGTTTTAAAGCCTTATTCTAATAAATGCTATGATGCTCTACTGATGTTGCATTTAGCAGCAGATTATTTTTAGAGACAGGATCTTTTAAAAAAGCAGTTTTGGAATAAAGTCATTGAGGGCAAGCCTCAGCTGACAGCCTGTGGACAGATATACAGGTTCCAATAAAATTCAGGACCCCAAGGACTCCCCAGCTCTTGAATTATTTAAAATAAACATGTAATTTGGCATTTAAGTATGAAAACGATTCCCCAGAATTGGCTTGTTAAGATACAGCTATTTATAAGAATATATTGTGGCGGTCATTTTCACCATTAAAATGTCTGTGGAAAACCGTAGCTTGGTTATCTAGCAGTTGTGCATGAACTGGTTTCTCAATCGACCCAAACCGAACAAGTTTATCATCTTAGACGTGTTTCCTTACAGTAAATAAGGAAAATAATTTTCATGCAAGGAAAACTAAGTAATGTAGTTGTAGTATAATACAGAAAAATGCTAAATTGATTTAGTTTCTATTGGTTTAAATTAAAAAAGGAAAGCCATATACATTTGATTTCTCTTCCAGAAGAAACTTTCTCATCCCACATTGGGCTGATTTCTTTATTTCTCTGTCAATCAGTTACTTTAGTGTGAGGATCTAATTTGCACCCAACTTGTGAGTCCCTTTACCTTCCGGGACAGACGAAGCATCAACTTTTAATGTATTTTCTGAAAATTAGTCATTACAGTTTAATTACATAAGACCCTATATACACACATTTCCGTGATTTTCATTGTTGGACGAGTCCCCCACCCCAAACCCTCATGAAATATCTAATTTTGCTAAATGTGGGTGTCTTAAACATAACTTTCTATAATGCAGATTTGTTTATTGATGATCTGTGACGCTAACGGGGATTACAGAAGCAGTGAAATCCTCCATTCTCACGTTTATTGCTTGTTGGGAATAAGAAAATCTAGTTATAAAAGCATGAAAAAAAAAACCAAAACAAAAATAGGCGGCGTGACCATCTACTCCCTCGGCATTCCAATGCCTGGCAGCCCACATCGATGCACTCGACAGCTCGGCTGCCCCTGCCTGGCGCTGGAACCAGGAAGGCGCTGAGCTTAAACTGAAGCAAGTTCGGAGGACGCCGGTGGCGCTCTGGTCCGCTGAAACGTTTCCAGGTCCGCGGGGCTTGCACCTCACCGGGAAGTGCGAGCCCGAAGGTCGGGACCCAGGTGATGCGGGCATCCAGAGCCTGGAGGGCGGCGGCGCGGCCGCGAGGTTCAAGGCCCCGCTCCTGC